ATGATATTGATGGTATTTCAGTTTTGAAGACAGAGTTAGCTAGATGTTTGAAATGAAAGATTTAGGTTCTCTACGATATTTCTTGGGTATTGAGGTAGCCTTCTCACCCAGAGGGTATCTTCTTTCTCAGTCGAAATATGTTGCAGATATTCTTGAGCGGGTAAGACTTACTGATAATAAGATTGTTGATACTTCAATTGAGGTTAACACGAAGTATTCTTCTTCTGATAGTTTACCTTTGTCAGATCCTATTTATACTGTACTATTGTTGGGAGTTTGGTATATCTCACTATTACTCGTCCATTTTGCATTTGCTGTTCATATTGTTAGTCAGTTTATTGCTTCTCCCACTACAGTTCATTGGGCAGCTGTTCTTCGCATTTTGCGATATCTTCGGGGTATAGTCTTTCAGAGTCTGTTACTTCCATCCACCTCCTCCATGGAGTTGCGTGCATACTCTGATGCTGATCATGGCAGTGATACCATAGATCGCAAGTCTATTATTGGTTTCTGTATCTTTTTGGGTGATTCTCTTATTTCTTGGAAAAGCAAGAAACAATCTATTGTTTCTCAATCTTCCACCGAAGCAGAATATCGTGCTATGGCATCTACTACTAAAGAGATTGTTTGGTTACGTTGGTTACTTGCAGATATGGGAGTTTTTCTTTCTCATCCCACTCCTATGTATTGCGACAACCAAAGTTCTATTCAGATTGCTCACAACTCAATTTTTCATGAACGAACTAAGCACATTGAGATTGATTGTCATCTTACTCGTCATCATCTCTAGCATGGCACAATTACTTTGCCCTTTGTTTTTTCTTCTTTGCAGCTTGCAAATTTTTTTACCAAGTCACATTCTATTTCTCGTTTTCGTTTTCTAGTTGGCAAACTCTCGATACTTGTAGCTGCCGCATCGTGAGTTTGAGGGGAGATGTTAAGAAATATAAGATTATTTATTATTTATTAAGGATATAATAGTCCTTTTTAGTTTCCTTTGTTTAGCCTATATATATTCTCTTTGTATATAGGTTAAACCATCTTTTAGCATTCAATTAATTACGTAGTATCAATGAAATCCTAGCCTCCTCCTTTTTCTTCTTTATTTTCTTTGGATTGTTTAACAGTCAATACCTCATAACCATAGTAATCCATTTGATAAATTCACGAGAATTTTTGGACCAATCAACATCACCATCTCCTACCTCAATAAAAATTGAAATAGTTAATTCATGTTGTCCTAACACTTGAGTAGGACCTCATGTGTTTGAATAATAGTCTCCTAGCTATATATGCAACTTATTCCTAATTTCTTGTAAAAATCAGCAACATCATTATAGATGGAAACTAAGCATTTTTTTTTCTATAGTAATTGCTTAACTTTAATCATTGCGATTGAAAAATGCATCTCTAGTTGGCATTTGAAGCAGAGAAATGTTATATAGCACTAGATTGGTATTTAAAATGCTCCATAAACAGAGCAAAGAGTGAAGTCTTTGTGAAAGCAAGTCGTACTATTCTGAAAGAGCTCACTTTAGCAAGATTTCAAGCTTCAATGTGCCTGTTCTTGCACTTGAATCTAATGCAAAAGGTAGATTAGAACGTTTTCTAGCTTAGCTAGCTTTCGTTCTTGGTGCACTCGATGCGATCTCTATGATGTAAGTTTACTATTACATTATTCAATGAAGTTTGTACATTAATCACATTACGACATAAACCAGTGCTAAGCACCAATAACGCTACACAGTATTATTATTTAAACAAGGTGCAAAATAAAATTTTCTTTTGTCCAATTATCTCTGAAGTTCTCCATGTGTGGACCCTCATAAGGGTCACTTGACACTTGAATCCGTTCCCACTGACCACAATATTATTTTGTCTTGAACATCCTCCAGATTGGGAATACTGGAGGCTAAAGGATTCATGTCGTACCCACTCTACTCATCAACGGGGCATTATGGATTGCTATGTTCGTGGCCGCAATCACCATAGCCAGCTATTGCTCTTTGGCCCATTGCGCAACCATGTTGCCATCGGCTCCTTTGCACCGTGCGCACTGCACGCGTTACCATACAGATGGTCAACCTATTCCATTGACAAGTCACCAAATCAACCGCCTATTATATCAATAATTTATACGTAATTTTAAATTTTATCGAGCCGATATCCAGATAATTTTTTAAACTGTCGTAATACAATTTGACCCATTGTGTTTCGAAGGTTATCCTTTACTCTTCTTATATTGTTTGAGAACAAAAACCCAGATGTTGGCTAGTCATACAATACAAAAAAATGTTGGTGGGCCTGGGCTTGGGGCCCACATGGCCCATTTTTAGATCCCAAAACGAACATGATAAGTAATCAGTACCAACACCGTACTAAACGACACCGCATTTGTTTGGTTGTCATAGTTTGTATAGTTACCCAATTGGAAATTGGAAATCCCCCTTCTGACACATGCAGGCCCAATTTTATAACACATACCATAAATTGTGACTAAGAGATGAGAAAATAATAGAGATATTTTGACCTCTAGTTTCAAGAATCAGCCATAATTTGAGCATACAGTTTTCAGTACTTACTAAAATTTTAATTGATGGAAGATAGAGTTTTGATTATAATAGTTATGTCTTCCGAAAATGGGTGTAAATTCTGCTATACAATACAAATTAATTCATATTTGGTTGCGAATCCTCCATATTAGAGACTTCTTAATTTTCACAAATGTTTTTATTAACATGAAAAAATGTTGCTTTCACTGTCTATTCCTAACATCTCATTTTTAATTAATGAACACACCAAAAACTATAGATGGTAGCCACCAAAGATGGAATAGATAAAAAAAAAAAAAAAAAAAAAAAAAACCAATAAAAAAAATTAAATTTTTAAATAAAAATAAATATTTTTTTTTTTTTTTTACAAAAAAAAAAAGAATGAAAAAAAGAAAAAAATTATAGGAATTCAATTTATTGTTTTTAAAGAAAATAGAGATAAACAATATGTGGGTGTTTGTGAGAGAGAGAGAGAGAGAGAGAAACAAATGTTATTGTAGTGTAAAAAAAATTAATCATAACTCTAATGTTCATAGAAGAGAAAACGAAAGAGAAATATTGGGAAAAAAATCTAGAAATACATATTATTATTATTATTTGTAAAAGTCTCCCAAAATCTTGTGATTAATAAGAGACAAATTTTGAAAATTTTTGAATGCTTTCTAGTTAAAAATTAGTACCCCAGAAACTCTTATAAAATTCTCTTAAAATTTGAATACCCCAAATTTTATACAGACTTTTAAAAAGTTTTAATTGGATACGCCATGACTTTTAGAGACTTTTTAAAAATATATAAAACTCTCAATTGAATATACCAATAGTTTTAGAGAGTATCAAAAAATCTACATTGAATATCCCTAAACTTTTTAAGTCATTAAAAGTCTCAATTAAATACAACCCAAGAATAACATAGTTCTTAAGAATTACATTTGAGTGTCGAATTTGTTGTAGGTTCGATCAAAATTAACTTAATTGTCAGCTTCAAATCTTGCACCATTGATATTAACAGTTGATTATAATTTAAATCAATGATATAAATTTTTTTTTTCAAAATTAAGCATTAAAGTTGTAAAAATAAAATATAATTTTGAATACAACTTTTCCAATTTTCACAATGTTTCAAGTCTTTTCTCAGAATATGATATTGTTACTTGTCTCGCTGTGGCATTTTTTTTTTTCATACTACCCAGAGGTAAATCACTCCCGTCTTTTTTTAATTATCACGTGACTATAAAACCATCTCATTTGAAAGTTTTTTGAGCCTAAACCCAAATTGTGAAGTAACTTCTAACTTTATAAAATTAGAGATATGAAGACTAAGAGAACGATTTATTGTGCAATTATATTACAAAATGAAAGGTCGGTGAACAATATTTATATTTTAAGAGTTTAGACCAATGGTTCAACTTTCCCCCCAAATATACAAGATTGATTAGTAAATTTTAAAAGTTTTGGCCGTGGAAAATGAAAATTTCTACTTTTTATATACTATACAGTTTTAGGGACAAGGACAAGAAATTTTTTTATGTTGCACATGATTTGATTTGTACATATAACATGTCAAGTACAATGGGCTTAGCCCCGTTTGGCCCCCATTTTCTAGAAAGGAAAATAAGTGGAATAGTATTTTTTTGAAAAATGAGTGATTAAAAAAGAATGAAAAGTTTTCAATTTACGCGTAATATTATTTTATTGAAAATTATGTAATTGAAAATAGGAGAGAGAAAAATAGAATATAATGGGGGCCAAACGGGGGCTAAGAGTTTGTTTGTGAGAAATTTTTCAAAAATCATCTTTAACCACATTGTATGGTACTTGAAATATTTTATACTTTCTAACGACACATTCTCCTAAACAATCATTTTTCATTTCAAAAAATCTCTCTGAAAAACAAGCTCCGAATATGCAGAGCAAGATAAAAGAAAAAATATATTACGATGATGTATTCCATTCAATTCAATGTACTAATTATGCTACATCATATTCACGTATGTCATTATTTCCAATTTAAGTTATGGAACTTGAATCCCACATTACAAGGTAATTTATATAAACTTAAATTCTCTAATTTCAATAATTAATTTTTAAAAGAATTATTCTAGGGGAAAATAACCCCTTACATAAGGATGTTCAAAATAGACACCCGACGCCTCCTATTGGAGGGGCGCCTACGCGCCATGGACATCCTTATGTTCCCCCTTTTTTTAAAATGGTGCAAAGGATAGGAGTTAAATAATCTCATCTTTACTGGCAGCCGCAGTGTGGAGGTTCGATTCCTGAAATATGGAATTAGACTTTCTGTGGACACCAGTGTATGGACAATATCTTGTTCCCTGTCCTGTTAGGACACATCCCGCAATTTCCTCCCTCACGATATTCCAAAGACGAGATGATGAGGACCCTTAAAGTTGGGGTTCAACCTTTTTAAAATATAACTCTCCTAAAATCTATAACAATGTAACACAAGCATCATCAAGAATAAGACGAGGAAGAGAGAACTTTTATGGGGAGGGACACTTGCCATCACCGGATATATTCCCCTTCTCACCACAGACACAAAATGTGGCTCTAATTCCCAAAAATTTGTTCTCTCCACCATTCTACAATTACTGCGTTTATTGACATGTCTGATCATTGACAGCTAAGAACATTTCTTTTCATGTTCAAAGCATGGGACCTCTTCCTCTTTTTTCAACCCATCAAATTCTTTGGTTTTTTTAATGGGCACTTTTTTCAGTCCTATTCACCAAAACTGATTTTGGATTTATTGGGGGTGTAAAAGAAAATATATTTCACTTGAATTCACCACTTTCTAAAGTTGGTTGGTCCACTTTTCTCCTTTTAGTGTGTGAAGAATTTGAACATGACTGAACTGTTGTTTCATCACTTTTGTAGCTCAAGCATGCAACCTCCAACACCCCATTGGGACTTTGTGGCACATTACTAGCAGCACTTGTCCCACTAATTGTTGTCAAATCTTGAATCAGTTCAAGACACTTCATCGCTCTTTCCTGCAAATCCCACAAACCACAACTAAGTTGCTAAATATATACGACGTGGGGACAAATTGAATAGTACTGAACAACGTTAAAGTGAGAGAAGTTGTTATAGATTAGACAACAACTACATTGCTAAACATATATGATATACAGTATGTGGGACTAGACAATTAAGAAAGAAAAGAAGTTGAAGAATTTTTTGCTCGTTCTTTGTAACATTGTCTAGTGCTACATACGAAACGTGATCGTGAAGTTGATCTGACTAAAGCAAGGAACGAAAAGTGTCTTGTCTAAGGTGTCACCCAAGTGGGTGTGTGTCTATCGTCTAGTATATCTTGTTCATTGTAATGTAAAGTTTTGTCTAGTATTACGTACCAAACATGCTGTTAAACCTGAAAACGACTAAACCGAGCAAAAAAGGATTGACTCGTCCAAGGTTTAATTAAAGTGGGGACCAAAATAAATTACCTTCTCTACTAGCATAAAACCAGACATTGCCTTATCAATGTTGGTTGCTTGTATTTCCCCTAAAACATGCATTGCCACCGCTGCAGCTATTTCAGAAGGCCTGAATTCCAAGAAATGAATACCTGCATTCAATTCCCAACCAAGCACTGAATCAAACACTTAAAATGCTAGAACCAAAATGGACATTATCTTCAATACAAAATATACTATAAATCACACACTAAAAAGGGACCTTTGATTGTATTCATGATGAGTTGAATTGATCTAGTAATCAAGGGCCATGATGGAACTTCATCATCATTGATCTTCTTGAGGAAATGGTCTATGAAACTGCATGGAGTATAAGCTTGCATTTTCCACTTCAAGATAGCCAATATCAAAAGCTCCATTTTTTGTATGGTTTTCCCTTCAAACACAAATTTTGGTTCCCCCACCTATAACATTCAAACACTGTCAAAACTATTGATGGAAGCATCACAATAATTCAATACTACAACAAATTACGAGCATATCTAGTACATAGTATTGAACGCGAATTAGTTAGCATAATGAATAAGATTTTAGCTTCACTCTTCATTATTATCTTGTCCAATCCAATCTTCCCTACCAAAACATGTTATAAGCCTTCTTTCCAAAAGCTATAGCTAATAGGAGGGGCACAATGCCGCAATCTAGACCTGTATCACCGAGGATCAGCTCGAGAGTCCACCTCAAGCACTAATCATTTGGGCCAAGGATCATCCTCGCGCTCAAGTGATGCTCTATATTATCTCCCCAGTACATACAGAGTCGAAATCTTTTTCCGCCAGTCTGTTCGGAAAAATATCAAAAGTTCAATATAATGCATATCATTCTTATGTTGATTTCACCTGTAAGTCCACAGTGGAAGGGACTTCAATCTCCTCCATTTTGGCTGCTAGTGATAAACAAGCCACAGCCACCAACTGAATTGCCCATGTTTTACCTGTCTATGAAAATTATAGAGCAGAAAAATCAGTCTTTTTTACTGTCAAACCTGCTAATTAAAAGTAAAAATCAAATATTACTTTGTGAAGAACTCACTGGCAAGTCATAAACAGATAAAAATCTGTCAAAGTAATTCATAGCCAAGCAGAAGCAAATTGCTCCAAAATTGTACTCAGCATGAGCCTGTAAATAAAAATAAAATAGAAGTCATTAATCAAAAACCATTAACTGTTATCACATTTTAGTTTAAATGCTCAAGAAACCATTAATTGAATTAAATAAACACAGCAAATCCAATATCCAATCCATTTTCAGATGAAATACTCATAAATGAGGGAAAACCCCTTTTATAGAAAATCTCAGGAACCCAATTGAAAAAATCAAAAATTACCAAAATGGCATAAATGAAAGAAAATTTACACCATCAAGAATGCTGATCAAAATGGAACAAAATGCAAAACCCATTCGAAGAAAATGGAAAAAAACTAATTTGATCTAAAGGAAGGGAGACATAAAAAACCAAAACCCAATTTGATTAAATAAAAAAACTGACCAAAATATAAATTTTACCTTTGAAATCCATTCATATGCGTCTCTTCTTACACTCATATCCAACTCCCCACTTCTCAGTTTTCTTATATAATCAGTTTTAGGCAAATATTCCTTTTCTCTCTCAATCATCAAACGAATGAAAGGATCCACAAAATCGCCATCATCATGGAACGCGCTTTTGGTTGTATGATTGCAGAGAAGTTCTGGTGCTGCACACTCAACACTTTTTCCATCGGCCATTGACAAATCACTCTCAATCAATGTTTTTTTTCTGTTAATGGAACTTAGAACAATCTCATAAAGAATGGTCTTTTATGTGGTGCATGTCAAGATCAGCTCCCAAAGAGTAAGAAGTTAAAGAGATTTTAGAGACGGTGTTTATTGATAGAGGGCTGGGAGGGGGCGTAGGGGAGTGAGTGTAGAGGTGTTAATATGGAGTTAATTGTTTCAATGGTCACTGAATTTAGATCCATGTGTTTGATTGGCCATTGAATTTTAAAATATCGAATTTTGATCACTGAATTTTAAAAAATGTCGAGTTTTGGCTACTGAACTTAAATCCATGTCTTTAATTGATCATTGAAATTTAAAATGTCGAGTTTTGATCACTGAACTTAGGTCAATGTCTTCAATTACACATTGAATTTAGATCCATGTCTCAGTTTGACCACTGAACTTTGGAATATGCCGTATGTTACTCACTAGCATAACTGTTGAATTTAAAAAATATCGAGTTTACAGTGAATAATGTAAAATATTTTTTCAAAATTCAGTGAGTAATATACAATATTTTTCAAAGTTCAGTGAGTAATGTATAAGATTTTCAAAGTTCAGTGGTCAAAACTCGATATTTTAAATTTCATTGAGTAATCGAAAACATGGACCTAAGTTCGGTGATCAAAACTCGATATTTTTTAAAGTTCAATAGCAAAAACTTGACATCTTAAATTTCAGTGGCCAATCAAAAATATGAACCTAAATTAAATGACCAAAACTCGACATTTTAAAATTTAGTGACCATTAGAACAATTAACTTGTTAATACGTTGTTCTTAAAAGAGAAACCTCATGTAGCAAATGGACATATGCAGTAATCTTAGAAAAAGCATTATTTTTATTTTTATTTTTTGGGGTGCATGTGCAGTAATATCCAAAAATAAAATTAGGCCTGTTTGATTTTCATTTTTATCGAAATACATTTTGCTCTATCTTCTTTTTAACCTCACATTTTTCATTAAAATAATATTATACGTAAATAAAAAAATTTCTTATTTTTCATCTACACAATCTCCATCAATTTACTATTTTAAAATTAATTTTTCCATAAAAGTGAGTGTCAAACACCCTCTTAATGTATTTTGGAAATGAAAACGTGCTTTCTACTAAGGACACATTTAAAAGTTTTTGAAATAAAAAACTATCCTGAGATTATTTTTTAACGTATTTGATAATTTCCTGAAAGTAATTTGTTTGACTAAAAATTTTTTTTTAGGAAAAGATGGACCTCTTACTCAAAGTAAAAGCAAAAATTCTATCTACATTATTTTTTTTCTAAAATAGGGAAAATAAAGGGTAATTTTGGAATAGTACGTGGAAAAACTGCCCCTTCAAACTTGGGGAAGATGTTCCGATTCTTGAAAGAAATTAACATAATTGATCAATTTGAAAGAGTAAAATTGGTTTTTTTATATAGGCTTAATAGAACAATACCCCCTATCTATTACTCAAATTGTCGAAAACCTTCCTACATTTTGGAAATAAAACAAAAAGTCCATGTTTCAAACGTTTTATGCGAAGTACCACCTATTGTTAGCCTCTGTCCATCATGTCGTTATATTCCAATAAAAAGAGGGAAATGAGAGAAATTAAAAGGGCAAAACCCCTAAACATCGTGCGCAAAATCCCTCCAACACATTGAAATTTGTGAAAATGGTCTTTGTCATCTATTTTTTCAATAAAAAGATTGAAAATGATGAATATGCCTCATATTCAGATTAAAAAAATAAGACAAAATAAATAAATAATTGCAATAGTAGTAGCAAAACCTTTTATTTATACAATCCACCTCCCAAAAACTTTAAAATTTTATTTTCTTCCTCAATCCCAACCTACCCTCAAAACTTCATCTTCTTTCGCACCCCTCCTTCTTTTCAATTCAATCCACGGAACAACAATGAGAACGGCATTAGTCAAGGACACGAAAAGGAAAGCAAAAACAAGGAACCCAGGGAATTGTATATGAATGAAATAAACAATTTTGTTGGAACAAAGTGAAAACTAGCATTAAGGGAAAGTAAAGATAAAAGTTTTTTGATTTGTAATTGTATACCATATGTGTGACTCCCATAGGCAAGTCCTTCAATAAATGGTAACCCTACAATATAGATAAGAATAATATTGGTTGTAAAGAAAATATTTCACAGAAGTTATACAGATGTGTCACATGAGAGTGGGTCCCATGTGAAATAAAATTATACCAAAAAATGATCATTCTCTCATCTGTAAAGTTTCTCTTCTGTACATTAAGCAGCACTATGTGACATAGGCCCCCGATGGCTTTTCTTGAGTGGCTATGCAAACTCAATCGCTGCAGGCTTCACCATTGACTTAGGATTCAGATCAGGGGTAGAGCCAGGAATTTCTGTAACGATGGGCTAAAAATTTTAAAAATTAGATACCATGCTATTAGATACTCGCCATCAGGGGTTGCCTTAATTCTAGTAGTCACAATTTCAAACCTCATATCCTGTATCAAATCCACTCTTCGCCCTTCGCTGATAATATAGAAGTAGACCCAAAATGAAACGGATCATTTACAATAACTTACCTGAAGCAAAATTAACATCAATATTAATCTCTTTTAGACTTTCAAAAAGCATCTTAGCATCCAGTAAATTAAAATGAAATAAAGTCAAAAACCTTCCTTTTATCCCAAAACTAATTAAAAGAAGACAATATGTTTCAAACAACCATTTTAAGCATCAAGCCACCTCTAGTGATTGATAATATTTCAAATTTGATACGAAAAAGTCTGCATTTTACCAAGAAAGAATAGTTCATAAAAGAAAAGGCAATCCATCATACCAGGATTTTTATGGAGAAATCTGGATACGATTACTCAATTTTTTTCACCAATCACCCTATTACTAGTAAAACCTAGCACGAACAACTGAAGAAATCTTTAAATAGCTGTACATAAAACACATAATTATTCTCGAAAAATTACTCTACTTTGAATCCTATATAAAAAAGGAGATTTAGTAAAACTAATTATTCAAAATACACAAATTCAATTTAACATTCAGATTTGAAAAAAGGGATAGGGACTCACCGTCCCTCACTGCAATCAGTAGGGCGCAGGCCGGTAGTGAGTCGGCAATTGATTGTTCTGTTTGACGCAGCTACGGGCAGGGCCAAAGTGAAAAGATTTAGGGATTTTGATTTTTGATCTTTGGGAATTATTTGAATTGGTTTTGCAAAGGACAACGGAAATGGCCGAATAGAAAAGAAAGGGGATTATACACGTGAATTAGAATAAGAAAATGGGTAATGGATTAACTAATGGGTATTATTATTGGGCCTAAAATACATAGAATTAGTGGGCTATAGATTAAAGATTTTTTTAGGTGGGCTACCCACTTAAATTTACTTGTTGGTGGGCTAATTGGGTTAAATTGAATACAATTCAAAAAAATAAAAAAAATAAAAAAAAAATTCTGTTGCATCTAGGC